CGCTCTCGACGTGACGACGACGAAGGCAAGAGAGAGACATATCGGACAAGTACGCCCGCACGGCTGTCGACGGCGACGACGGCTGCGGTAAGCTCCAGTGCCGACCAATTAATAATAATATAGTAGTGTCCGGCGACCCCTCGGCCGTCGCCACACGATTAGCGCGCGCGCAGCTAGTCAAGCGGCGGTTGGGGACGCCTTTATTTCAGCTTTTCTTCTTCTTTATTTATGGCCGCGTGGTGAATGTGTTCCTTGTGGCCTCGTGGGGTGATGGATCGAGAGGCGACTTCTGGTACCGGCCGCACGGACGGAGCGCCGGCGCCGTTCTTCCGATCCCGTCGTCCCGTCGGCCGTCGCCTTCCTGTGACGTACCAGCCGTTGCTCCTCTTGCTGGAGAGATGCCTTGGCACGTGGCGCATCTCGGCCGCCCTGCCAACGCATGCATATATACGCAGCGGCACGTCGCTGGCCGGACCGTTCCTACTTCGAAGTCGCCGCGAACTTTGGCGTCCTGCGTGCGTTCGTGCGTGCCAGCTGAACGGTGAGTGATGGACCGGACAGGGTCGGACAAGAGGGCGCTGTGGCGTACAAGCGTGCGTGCAGCGTCGGCCGGAGGGCACACCGGCCGCTGGGCTTGTCCAAGACTTGCTTGCCTGCGTGCCAGGATAGCCGGCGGATCGGGGAGGGCTCGCTGGTACGACTGGGCGGCGGCGGCGTGCTCATGCTATGCTTCTGATGGCGCCGGGAACGAACGACGGCTGCCGACGAGACATACACGGTGTGGCCAATGCAAGGAAGAGGATAAGGATAGCATGGCTGGCCTACCACAGACTTGTACGTACTCAGTACGCGCTCGTGCCACGGACGTACGCACTGGCAGCAACTGCAACCGCCGGATGGCGTGTCGTGATGACGCTGCCGGTCGCGTCAGACGTACCCCGGCAGGACACGTCTCCGCGCGCCCCGTGCACGTTCACCTCGTGCGCGCGGTGGAACGCCTGCACCCGCTATTCCCTAAAATCTGCAGACTCTCTCTCGCTTTGAGCCACAAAGTGTTCTCTAGTGTGTGGGGGTGTACGTGTGTAGTGTGGGGTCCCGGGGATCTCTAGAAAGATGTAATCTTCTAATATGTATGTAGTTATAGGTCTAGTAGTGCACATGTAGTGTGTGTGTGGGGTGTGTGTTTGTAGTGTGGACATATGTTCATATATGAATAGATATTACAGTTGTACCTAGATTAGAGGCTTAAAATAAACAGGTAGGCTTTTCCTATCCTCGTCATATGACCTCCGATCCTCGATGAAAAATAGTATTAGCCGTACTTATCGATCATCGATACGGTGTTTTTTCTCTAACGACAAAACAACATCACGACTTATAAGCCACGTAAAAGATCAAGAGAACCGGGTGATTATTGCGGCAGCAGCACGACCCCGAACCAGACCAACCCCAGCCGGCCCTGGTCTGCTCATTTCCACCACGAGCTAAAGGTGCAGACAGCAGACGTGCAGCTATTCGAGTGTGCAGGCACGCACGGCTCCCCACGGTTGTGTCTGCGTGTGTGGACGCGACGCAAGCCTACCCTAGCTACTTCCGCTGCTTCGCGCCGCGCACACGGCACTACTAGCTACAAACCAGGCGTCAACGTCCGTACCTCTGCTGCTGAGCCAGAAAATATACCGTTCCTGAAAAATATCCAACCAAACTCTTGATAAAATGTATATACAAATATGCTTATATTCCATCGTATTAAATATATATGGTTATACACTTGAAACACATTTTTATAGTAAAAAACTGCTTCAAGTCATAAATGTGGATAATGGTTCCTTTTTATAAACTTACGTCCCGTTCGTTTGGGCTGGTTTGGCTTATAATCCTTGGCTGAAAAATACGGTTGGCTGATTTGGTTGAGAGAAAAATATTGTTCGTTAGCTGATAAGTCATGGCTTATAAGCCAAATACGACCAAGCGAACAAGATTATTAGCATAGATTGTTTGACTTGAACTAAACATACTACAATTACATTATTTTTGGGACGAAGGGAACACATACCAACTGTTGGTAGCTAGGATGGATAATGGAGTGCAAAACATAGATTATTAGTCCTCGTACAAATCATTTGCTGTCATTAGACGTTTCGACCGAACTTGGACAAAACTAGTAAAATAGTTTACGGCAAGCATGAATGAAATGCATTCCCTTGTGTTAGGCGTGTGTTGTTTTTTATATCATGATGCCTTGTTGCACGTATATACCATATGTTAAGTTCCGACAGCGTCAATGAATTATGAGTGCATTGTATAGCGCAGTGGTTCAAAGTCATAATCATTGTTGTCAAAAAATGTCATAATCATTGGCCCATATGCAATAAAGTGTATTTACTTTCGTGCATGACAGTGTGATCCTAGTTAATTGAGAAAACATAAGTGGTTGGTTACAGTATGGTGCAACTAATGTGAAAAACATACAACACCTAACGATTTCTTTATGTTGTCACCTTCCGAATTGAAATATAATAGGAATTAGTAATTGGTTTCCACTGCTTTTAGAAACACAGCACAGATGTAGACTCACACACAAGCACATACAGTCATCATAAAAGAATGGAGTCCTTAAATTCTAAAATAAATTTTAAGAAAAAACGTGTACCAACATCAAATCGAGAACTAATTAACCAGCCGATCCGAGCATAGCTCTGTTCGCTTCCCATAAATATAATGACAAAAAACAATGGAAACTTCGGCCTTGTTTAGATTGCAAGTTTTTTCACTCTCTCTTCATCACATCAAATCTTTAGACACATGCATTGAGTATTAAATATAGATAAAAAAATAACTAATTACACAGTTTGATTGTAAATTACGAGACGAATCTTTTAAGCCTAGTTAGACCATAATTGGACAATAATTATCAAATACAAACGAAAGTACTACAGTGCCCAATACTAATTTCTAACCAGGATCTAAACAAGGCCTTCCTCAAGTCCAGTCGGTCCCAAGGCATGTAGTATCAATGACCCGAAACATGCAACAACTAATATAATTTAAGCAAAGATTTTAATAAAGCATGTAGTACATATTAAACACACATAGGTGTAATGCAAAAAAGAGGAAAACAAACATAGAGTAATTGACAAATTTATGACTAGATAGAGATTGTAGAGTATGTATTATGTTACGAAATGAATAGTGAGTTAAGATAACCAATTTTGATTACTTGTGCATACTAAATTCATCTATAAAATTATTAATATTTATTTGATAGAAAGTAGTAGATATCAGAAAAAACCTTAGTTTGTCTTAAGTCAAGTCTTAAGTTTTGCAGGCAGAAAGAGCGCAGCCGACCAGGCCAGTAACAAACAATTAAGGGAAATGCTATGCTCCAGGCGCCTGAGAATTTAGTTATTGCTCATGCGACCAATCTGGAACGTCCATTTCTGATCGAACAGGCCATAGATCGTCTTCTTCCGTCGTGCACCGGTGACATATTCGATCGCCTGGTAAGTAATCTAATTTCAGGCATCTGACCTTTAGGAGGTGTGAACAATTAAATATTTGTTCAAAAACAATCAGGCTAGCTCTTAAATACACTTCCAGCAGCGCGAGATACGGTGGCTTGCACTCTGCTATGTACTTGAGTCTTCAGACTTCACTGCTGAAAAGCCATTAGTCCACGCTGAGCTGTACTGCGCCACCACGTACATCATCCGCTTGCCTCACTTGTCACCCGAGCTATAAATCAAACAAACAAACAATCAGCCGAACAGCTTGCAAAACTGTCACCCGCCTCCTCATCCGCAGCGGTTACGGTCTGCCGTAAATAACCCCAGCGACGATCGATCCCACCCGATAGTTGCAGGCCTCCTCGTTCGTAGGCCCCGTTGGTTAAGCTGAAAAAACAAATCGAAACATTATTTTGACTAAACAAAACAAACTGAAAAATATACATCATAAGATAAGCCAACATGACCGTACATGTATACTACTACGTTAATGTAATGTCAAGTCATTAGAAAATATTGTCCCTGTTCATTTGGCTAATAACTGAAAGTACTGTTGATTGATTTATCGTGAGAGAAATACTATTCGTTGGCTGAAAAAGTAAGAATAGGCCATGTTCGCTTTCTCTTATAATCCATCTTTTTTAGCTGGATAATATTTTTCTCTCAAACAAATTAGCCAAAACAGTTTTTTTTGTTTTTTCTGGAAGCGAACGGGCCCTAGCAGCATGTTGGTTTAGCTGTGGCTTATCGTAAATGATCATAAATTTTCAGTCAAAACAATATTTTTCTCTCACATAAACTAGCCAGCAGTACTTTTTCACGAACCAACCACGAATCGAACCAGCCAACCGAATATGTGGTAGATTTTTTCAGTCAAGTGAACAGGACAAACAGTGGACCCCAACAAGAAAAGGGGCTGAGCACCAAGTACCCTGCAAAAGTAGTACTACAGTAGAAGTATACTCGTACATGCAAGTGCCACTGGATTAGTACTACTGGAATGCTGACAGTGGTCGCAACAGCAGACGCAATCTATCAGGGGCGTTGTCACAGGCGAGCGGAACTAGCACCTCTAATCCCCGAAGAATAAATAAAAAATAAAACTAGTCCTAGCTTAGTACCAGCAGCACTAATCCTGCGGCGATCGCCACTGATGCGTCACTGTCAGCGCGGGCCCGCCCCCGCGCTAATAACGTAGTGTCAGAAGGGTCGAGTGGTTTACAATGATTCCGCCACGAGCCGAATTGAATCGTAAAGAAAGGTGCCACCACTGCCAGCAGCAGCAGCTGTCACAGCACCCGAGCCCCAGACGACGCGCGGAAAAATCAGCCGCTCCCGCTGCCTCTGCCGTCGCCTCGTAATTTACTCCTCGCCATTCCTCCGCCTCCTTCCATTTTGCTGCTGCGCTGCCCCTCCAGCACCCGAGCTCAGCCTGCTCTGTTCAGCGCCTCAGCCGCTCAGGTGCCGCCCATCGCTTCACCAGTTTCAGTCGCCATGGACCGCGGCGGCCACGCGCTGCGCGCGACGCTGCTGCTGCTGCTCACGCTGCCGACGATCCCCGTGCCAGTGGCCTGCCCGGCGACGGCGGCTGCGTTCCTGGAGGAGGACACGATCCTGGGCGCCGTGGGGAGCGCGATGCGCGGCGGCGGCAGCAAGGGCCCCGCGAACGCGAGCACGAGGCCGCCGCGGGGCGGCGCCGGGAGGCAGCACCGCTACGACGTGGGGTCGTGGAAGGAGGAGATCGCGGGGCTGGCGGGTCGGCCCGAGCTGGCGGCTTGGCTGCGCCGCGTGCGGCGGCGGATCCACGAGCGCCCCGAGCTGGCGTACGAGGAGGTGGAGACCAGCCGCCTGGTCCGCGACGAGCTGGACGCGCTGGGCGTCGGGTTCCTCCACCCCGTCGCGCGCACGGGCGTCGTCGCCACGCTCGGCACCGGCCGCCCCCCCGTCGTCGCGCTCCGCGCCGACATGGACGCGCTGCCCATCCAGGTACGTGTACATGGACGTATTGTTGTTCGTGCTCCTCGCTTCATGCGGCCACCATGCTGTCGCCTTCTTCCTTCGCCCATAGTAAACTCATCGAAGAACTAATCTTTTCGATTTCTCTTCCTTCGATTTCAAAATTTGAGGCGTGCTAACACAAGAGACTACTACTAGTGCGTAGTACTTAATCCAGGCGCGGGAAATTCTTCATGTTGGCTGGTTGGTTTCGTCCGGAGTTTATCAGTTAGTTAATAGTATTTTTCTCCCATTAAATCAGTAATATCTGGCTTATCAGCCTAAAAAACCAACCGAAGAGGCTCCTTATCTGACAATTCAAACGATCCCCACGAAATCTCTGCACGATTCAGCTGATCAGCTCATGCGTTATTGCCAACACACCGCCCTCTGATTATCCGGAGAGCACAGAAGAGTGCGTCCACTCCAGCCACTTGGTTAGTGGATGATAATGGTGCTCTATAGTTAATTAATTAAATATTCAAATAAACCTGCACAGTGGCAATGCATGACAATACTGTACTTTAGTTAGCAACACACCATGGTTACTTTATCCTTTTTTTTTCTTCTCCCTTACCATTATTTGGTTTATTAAAAAAAAAAGGCTTCACTCTGCTTAGTAGGCTCATAGGCTGCTTGTTTGGCTGCTTCATATCGTCATTTGGTTCGTGAATAAAGATCACCTCGTTTGTATGAGAGAAAAACTTATTCCAAATTGAAAATTTACGATCATTTAAAATCACAATTCGAACAATTTGTTTTGGATGCATAGGTGAAATTTCGTAAACGATCGTAAATTTTTACGAAATAAAGTGTTTTTCTCTCTCACACCACAATCAAACGAATAAATAATCCACGATGTTTGGATGCATGAGGGTGGATTTGCATAAGCGCGTAGGCGTAGGGCTGTTCCTCCGTGTTCCTTTGCCTTGGGGTCGGGTGGTTGCACCTGGAGGACAGCACACGGATGTCTCATGTTTCCGGTCTTGTGAAAAATGTGATCATCCATCCTTTAGCCTGGCCCTACCTACAGTGTCTAGGTCCATCAGCCAGCCCACTTGGTTACTGCTCCAGTGGTCCTCGCGATAAAACCCTCTCGTGCTCGTGCAAACACAGACACCGCACGATGCAATGGAGACACACACGACGTGACGACAGAGGGTATGCTGCCTGTTGAGCTCGTCGGTCCTGAGTCTTGATTCTCAGGCTCAGCAGCTGTGGTCACGGGTCACCGAATCTCGGAGAGATCATTCACGGCCACCGCACGCCCATCACTGACACAGACACATGGAGAAAAAGAAAGGGCTTTCTGGTTTCTTGCCCGAAATGGCATCAGTCGTTGGTAAACCCGGGGGTAAGCACACCGATTTCGCCCGCGGGAGAGTCGATCCGCCTGACTGCCCAGAACGGGCAGTTTTTCATCTTTTACGCCCAAAAGCTCGAGGACGACGAGGCCGCTTTCTCACGATCTCCGGTTGTCCGCTCATGCGCGTTTGGCACAGCAATGGGAGTACTGACTGGAAAGTGGGAGCATCCAGCTGCCCGTTCCATCCAGGCTCGGCCTCGGCATGGAAGATTTCACTTGCCTGACGACGCGTCCGTGCCGTGCGTGTGTGTGGTTGTTGCAGGAGGCGGTGGAGTGGGAGCACAAGAGCCGGGTCCCCGGGAAGATGCACGCGTGCGGGCACGACGCGCATGTCGCCATGCTCCTCGGCGCCGCCAGCATCCTCAAGTCTCGCGAGCACCAACTCAAGGTACGCCGCCCTACGGCGCCACGCCACACCCTCTTTTCAGTTTCAGACCCTCTAATTGTACTTGTTCAATACAATTGATATCAATGCCTTTTTATATAAACTTTGTCAAATTTAAAATGGGTTTTCTCACCAAAAGTTTCAGGTGACTGATGGTTAAGCTAACCATCAGTCACCTAATCTCACGGCTGCCCACAGCTACGGTTTTGGAAGATGGCCGTACGGCGACCCGCAAAAGAAACGGCAATAATTGCCTTGCTTGCTACTACTCCGTAGTTCCTTTCCGTGGCCCGAAAACGCAGCAGAAGCATGGGCACCGTGCACGTGATCGCCAGGTGCAGGTGCAGGTGCAGGTGCAGTCTCTAGTCCCAAGGGCTCATGGCCGTGCTCGGGCGCATGGCCGCCGTCGTGCTGCAATCGTGCTGTACAGATTCACGCAGAACGATACGTCGACGGCCTGCACTTGGTGCTGCACGGGAGCCACGGTACAGCAGTTTTTTCCCGTCGACTGACGGATAAGCAGGATAGCAGGCAACTGCTATTGAATAATTCTGAAAAATAAAATGGTTTGACTTAGCACGACACCAAAATTGCTTCTTTTCTTGGACATACGGAGAATAATACCCTTCCATTCACTCAATCAGCACCTGCTGCAGTGCATGCATGCAAGCATATATCTCCTGCGTTTCAGACGTCCGGAGACGCTCGTTCGTAGACGTAGCTTTCGTCCCTGTGGACACCACTCTGCACCCGCCCATCCCATCTCAGCATTCTTTCTTTCTTTCTTTCTACTTGAAAACGTGATCAGAATTTTGGTCGCTAGATTTCACTTTTCGGGGGGAAAGCCGTGGGCAAAATGATAGTTTAAGACGAGCGCCCAAAGTGCAGAAATGATGTGCCACCACACTCTGATACCGGGGGTGATGATCCATAGCCCATTGTTGTGGCAGTGGCATCATGCAAATGTCAGCGTCATGAGTCGTACCAGTAAGCACTAGTTCTAATTCTTTTGAGATCTCAATTCTTTTCCCACCGCTTGTTTAGATGCCATCTAAATTTCAAGTTTTTTCACTCTCTTTCCATCATATCAATTTTTAGCCGCTTGCATGGAGTATTAAATGTAGATAAAAAATAACTAATTACATAGTTTACTTGGAAATCACGAAATGAATCTTTTGAGCCTAGTTGATCCACGATTGGACAATATTTACCAAATAAGACGAAAGTGGTCCTATTCATCGGGTTCATTTTTTTTTTAAGTGAACGAGGCCCACGTGCTCCTGAACACTCGCAATGATCAGCGCACACTGTCACTGATGCGTGTGCTCTGCTCTCGCGGCTGCAGCCACTCCGTCCGTGTTATAGTAACTAGCACCTTTCATTTAGGCTTTATTAGTGCTGCATCAAGGAAAAAGTTGTTCCATCTGCACAGCGTTTGTTTCTTTCAATTGTTGCAGTTGTGCTGTTGGGCATTGGTACGACACTCCTTGGTTCAGTCCTTTTGAAGCATCGGTGATGAGTGTGGTCTTGGCATTTCTTACTGTGACCTCTGAATAGATTCGGTGGAGAAACTCCTTTGTGCCACGATTTTAGGCTTTTGCCAGCATTGACATGAGCTAGATACTATCCTACCAGGATAATCATGTCGGAAGGATTGAGTTCTTTGCTTAGGGGCTGTTTGGAAGACTGGTTTTAAGCCTAAAACCAGTGTAAAAAACAGGTATGTAAATTTTACAATCTATTCAATCCATCCCAAATTGTAAGACGTTTGACTTTTTTGACACCAAGTTTGACCACTCGTCTTATTCAAAAATTTGTGTAAAATATCACTTCTTTCGTCGTGGTTTGGTTTATTAATAAAAATTCTTTAAGAATGACTTAAATTTGACTATATTTACACAATTTTTTTGAATAAGACGAGTGATCAAACTTGGGGTAAAAAAGTCAAACGTCTTACAACTTGGGATGGAGTAGATCTAAAATGTCTGCTTGGATGGACGGTAACAGGTATAATTTTACAACAGTATTATGCCTTTCCACTTGGAAAATAAAAATCGTGTCCGTCGGCCACATTAAAAATACGACGGATGTCGTGCTCGACCGAGCGCGCTATCCTTCAGCCCATCTGGGAGAAATTGTGTGCTTGACGGCTCATGGTCAGAGGAATGATCTTCGATTGATTTTTCTTGCTGCTATTGTTGATTCAGAATTTACCCAAACAATAATTTACAGGGGAATGATATTCCGGTTGTCTTCTTGTGCACAAGAAATTACAGGTGGAAGTAGATTACAGATGAAATAATTTACAAAACTCCCAAACAGGGCCTTAGCGGTTCACACAAAACGGCTGTGAAAGTCAGATGCTGATATTTTGACTGGCTGGACCCTGGGGAAGGGAGACTTGCTTGTTTCTGTACCTCCAGAGCTGTCTCTTCAGTCTTCACCAACCTCCAGATACCGATATTTTTGTTTCTAGTTTCTTTTTTGAAACTGTACAGATAGAAAAAAAAACATGGTCAGGGTAATTGGTCTAATCCAATTTCTACGTTTCAGTATTGAAGTTGGTGCAGAAAATACTCCTATGTGCAGTGCAGCAGCTCCTGCTCCTAGGCTGAGCTTACTGAGTGACGTTTTGGTATACGTTTCAGGGCACAGTGAAGCTTCTGTTCCAGCCGGCGGAGGAGTCAGGGTGCGGCGCGAAGAGGATGATCGAGGACGGCGCACTGGACGGCGTGGAGGCCATCTTCGCCGTACACGTGTCGCACCAGCACCCGACGTCCGTCATCGGGTCCAGGACGGGGGCTCTCCTCGCCGGCTGCGGCTTCTTCAAGGCCGTCGTACGCGGCGGCGGCGACAAGGGTCCGCGCCGGGCCGACCCCGTCCTGGCCGCCGCATCCACCATCATCAGCTTGCAGAGCATCGTCTCCCGCGAGGCGGACCCGCTGGACTCGCAGGTGGTCTCGGTGGCACTGGTAAAGGGCAGCGAGATCGAGATCCAGCAAGCGGCTGCGGCTGGGGCGGCGCAGCCTCAGGAGCTGGAGCTGGTGCTGGGCGGCACGTTCCGCGCCTTCTCAAACGCGAGCTTCTACCAGCTGCGGCGGCGGATCGAGGAGGTGATCACGGCGCAGTCGCGGGTGCACGGGTGCGCGGCGTCCGTGGACTTCTTCGAGGACCAGAGCTTCTACCCGCCGACGGTGAACGACGCGCGCATGTACGGCCACGTGCGGCGCGTGGCGTCGCAGCTGCTGGGCGGCGCCGCGTACCGCGACGTGCCGCCCATGATGGGCGCCGAGGACTTCTCCTTCTACTCGCAGGCGGTGCCCGCCGGGTTCTACTACATCGGGGTGCGCAACGAGACGCTGGGGTCCGTGCACACGGGACACTCCCCGTACTTCATGATCGACGAGGACGTGCTCCCCACCGGCGCCGCCGTCCACGCCGCCATCGCCGAGAGGTTCCTCGCCGACCACGCCTCCCTCATGGGCGCCGCCTCCGACGACGACGACACGGGCGACCAGCAGGAGATGTAGACCGGCCACGAGCCTGCTCGCCCGACCGACGTCGGGCGCCTGGTGGTCTGGCGGATGGTTTTGATCGAGGCGCACGGTAGGAACTGGTGGGGATTTGGCCGATCGCTCGGGCGTCTCCAAGGGCGTCGGCTGGTGTTGGAACACGGGCTCGGGTTGGTTTAGTTTTTGTGGCCGACGGGCTCTTGGTGGTGATCGACCGATCCGCGGGCGTGACGTGCCGGCGGTTCGGGGTTTTTTCCCGTGTTCCGTTTGAGCGAGCAAGGTGCCATACGTGACGGACGGGCGTAGCTGGTGCTGTTGCAGATATTGGCTGCTCTACATACGTGTTTTTTGCCCCTTGGTTGGGATTTCTTGGAGACTGATCCTTTTGTTAGCAGGATCTCTTGCTGCCAGTCTAGCACGCATGTTTCTACAGTTTCCTCTTTATTATTGTTATACACGTGATGATGCTATGCTATGCATGTTGGGGCGCGTATGATTTACTGGGCCTGGGTGATAAACTGGACGGAGAAGGAGAACTGAGAACGTATTGGGCCCAAAGTGGTCGCGCGTGCAAACCAACGACCCATCAACTAATCATTCTCTAGCCTGGTTTTGCTCACGGTGGAGAATCTACGCATTCTATCCGTGAAATAAAAATATTCTGAGTTAAATTTAAGGGCCCCTTTGGAACGCTAAAATTGAACATTTCTATGGAGTACATAAAATATGTAGATTCGATGTGACAGGGAATCTTAAAAAATTTTGCAAAATTTTGAGAACTAAACAGGCACGAAGAGAGAAGCGAAAAATATCTTAACCTGAAAATGATACCGTGGCAATGAGCCAAAACCCTTTGGCACGAGACTTTGTATTTAGGTCATAGGAGTATCTAGGTTGGGCCACTTGCCTCAAACCCGCTTTCTAACCTTTGAGAACGTGGTTCTCAGGTAAAAAAAAATGCAAACCAAGCCGGAAACATGCCCCACATGAAGGGAGACGGACGAGGATTCAGAAACAGCGGCGCGCTCGTCTTCCACACCCTGCACTACTGCACGCTCAGAACCGGCCAGGAGCAAGAGCAAGGATGGCGGGGCGCCGGACGCTGGCGGGCGCGCCTGGCCCTGGTTTCGTCGGTCGTCGCCCCCCTCTCCTCCCCTTGCTCGGAGCAGAAAAGATCCACCTCACACCTCTCTCTCTCTCTCTCTCTCTCTCTCCCTAGCACGGTGCTGGGTTGCGAGCGGCGAGGCAGTGACGGACTGACGGACATGTGACGCACCACGCAGGGCAGGCGCGAGGTGGACGTACGGCTCCGGTGCGAGTCCTCCTACCTGCCGCCGCGAGCCCACGAGCTCATGTGCGCCCCATGCTGTTGCCCCTTTGTTTCGACCACTCAGTCACCCGCAAGGCCGCAACCACAAACCCCGAGCCCCAGCACGTACGCACTGTCCCGCCATCCGCATGAGCACCCAGAAAAAGATGAACCAAAGCTGGTGGTCTGGTACCAGGTCGTCCTGTGATGTGCCGAGAGCTCATCGATGATGGATCTACCTTTTTGCTTTGCAGCAGTAGTTGGACTTGGACCTTGAAGAATCAAGATCCACACCCGTACACCACACACATGTTTCGTGCTCAGAAAAAAAGTTTGGATGGCATCACACATGCATGTGCTCCTCTGAACCTCTTTTTTTCTGCCATTTTTTTTCTATACGTGTTATGTTGCTTTTGGATCAGGTTAACACGAAGTAGGAGCCGTAGTAGGTGTGCGGGCAATGCGACGACGACTCGACGAGAGCAGGGAAATGTACTGCCCTTCTGAGGGGATGAACTCGTGAGTCGTGACTGATTAGAGGATGCATTTCAATGTCGGCGCGGCATGTTCAGACCCAACCATCCAACTAGCTAGCAGATATTCGGTCAATACTGGGAAAAAACACACACGAACGGAACACAACTGTCGTGTGCTCGAAACCACCTCTCTGAATTTCGTGATCCAGAGAACAACGAAATGTTGGCCCCGTTCGCTGGTCTGAAACTTGGCTGAAACTGGCTAGTTTTGTGAGAGAGAAACACTGTAGCGGCTGGTTGATGAATAGTGTTCTGTGAGGGTGTTCAGCCGGCTGGTAAAACCAGCGAACACGCCCAATAGTGTTCTGTGAGGTTGTTGATGATGCGGTTAGGAAGGGCGAGAGCAGCAAAAGTGCGCAAAAGTTTAAACTCCGGTACACCTGAGACTTGGCAAAAGGGGTTTGTCGATCTCGATCACGAGGGCACCACCCATTGCGTAAAAAAAGTGCAGTAGCTCGAGTACTGACCAGCAGCATCCGGCCACGGTGCAGTTATTGGGCTGCCCTGAAAAAAGAGGAGTGAGCTGCTCACTTCTCGCCAGGCAGCGAGTGATGAGGCCAGGCCAAAGGCAGTAGGCAGAGGCAGACACGTTCCACATTGCTCAGAGAATCCAAAGTTGCTACCCGTACACACGGCCCGCCACCGTGGTGGCTGCAGTGCAGTGACGCCAGAAGCACTAGTGGGTAGCAACTGGCATTCTGGCAACAACCAAACCAAACAGAGAATCAGATCACGGTTAAAAACGAATTAAGCAACGCCGAAGTAGCAGGAGAATGTTGGGCTCAAAACCATTTCAAATCCGGAGCTAACAGCTATTTGGAGCACAGTTGCTCTTTTTTACAGCAGCTCCGACTTCGAGTGACGGCTGGATACCGGACGCAGCAGCGGTGGCTCAGAGTCAAGACGAACCGGCCGGCCGGAATCCGAGTGAACCCCGGGCCTCCGGCCTGTCGCCTCGGGGGCTGTTTAGTTCCCTCTAAAACGTTAAATTTTTCAAGATTCTTCGTCACATCAAAATTTTTGGACGTATGAATGAAGCATTAAATATAAATAAAAAATAAAACTAATTATATAGTTTAGACGAAATCCACGAGACGAATCTTTTAAATCTAATTAGACCATAATTAAACATTAATTAATAAATAACAACAAAAACACTGCAGCAGCGTTTTGCCAAAAATTTTGACAACTAAACATGCTGAGAGGAAAAACTGGGCCTCGGTGAAAGCCACAGCGAGTAGACAGAGACCGTACTACACATGCTGAGAGGAAAAGTAGCCTCGGAAGTCGCGTGCCCCGGAATTATGATGTCCGTCCGGTCCGACCGTCCGTGCCCTTGGTCCCTCCCTCCTGTGGCGGCGAAACGCGGCCTACCCTAGCTACTCACTGCTCTAGCTAATGCAGCGTGCTACACGGCGCGACGCTACGGACGGTGGCCGATAGCCTGCGCGGCTGCGCCCGCCCGACCTGCTTCCCTTGTGCTTTTTTGCTGTGCACCGATTCAGATCTGAAGAATGCCTGTAGTTTACTGTTCAGGATTTCAGATCTCAGTTTTTCAAAACGCAGCAGTAGTAGAGCTGCCGAGTGCAGCTGCACCACGGATCCTATATCCTACAGGGAGGAAGATCCGAAGACGCGTGATGGAGGCAAATGAATGAACGCACGTAAACACCCATCAAAATATCAGATGCAGGCAGGATAACACCCGGCTGAATATCAAGTTCAGAGTGGAGAATGCAGTGCTGCTAGCATATACCTCCGTCCCTCCCCCCATATACTGATACTGAATTACTGATATACCCCCGTCTGATCTCGGCCTACCAGCGGTAGACCACAGATTTGATTATTTTTTTTTCATCACACTACGACCATACGACACGATACTACAGACAGGTACAGGATGCAAAGAAACGATACCAACCAGAAAAAGAACGGAAAAGAAACAAGAACGGCAGCCTCAGGCTACAGCTAAACCCCATGAGCCTCGTAAATGCCAACGCCATTGATGTTGTTATCTTGTGTGGATGGGACGGGAATGGGACTATCATCAGCATCAGCGGTGGTGCGGGCAGAAGGTGACGACGTAGGATGCGCCGGCGGAGCAGGTGAGGATGGAGGTCGGGTCATCATACGCGTACGAGTACGCCTTGGGGCACGCCGACTTGAACAGCCTTGAGTACGCCGTGGGCTTGCACTGCTGGGGGCTCCCGAACTGCGGCCCCGTGCAGCAGTACTGCGGGGCGCCATAAGCGGCGCAGGCGCTGCGGCACCCGACCACGCGGCCTCTCCCGCCCTCGCCGCCGGCGCCACGCACGGCCAGCCCCGCGGGGCACACGCGGTTGAGGTCGCTCACGCACCCGGCCGGCACGCAGTGCGCGCCGGAGCCGTGCACGGGCGTCATCGCGATGGGGATGTTGTACCCGTCCACCAGGCTCACGTCGTAGAAGTCCTGCGCCGTGGGCGTGGCCCCCAGGGTGATCTCCGCCAGCGTGGCGGGGGGAGCGCCGCCGGCCCCGTTGCAGTAGAACGCGCCGCCGCAGTCGCCCGTGGCGCAGCGACCGCGACCCGACGCGTCGAAGGCGCACCCCTGACGCCCCCACACGCGGCCCGACCACCCCGCGGGGAGACGGATCGACGTCGAGTGGCCAGGGGCTAGCTGTAGCCCGCCGCGCGCTAGGACTTCCTTCCCCGCGCTCGGCTGGATGCCTGGCCACACCGTCTCCCCGCACCGGTTGTACAGAGCCAGCGTCGCCGCCGACGCGCCGCCGCCCAAGGACGCCACGACGAGCAGCGCCGCCACGGCAACGGCGCGCATTGCCATGGCTGGTCGCCTGCTCCCCGCCTCGGTCGCAGGGTCACTCCTCACGCGGTGAAGGGGAGTGAAGAGTGAGCTCTCTAGCTCGCTGGGACTGTGGAGTGTCGTGAGAGTGTGGTGGGGCTCGTGCGGGCGTATTTAATGAGTGTGGAGTGTGGAAAGGTTGGTGGCCGCTGTACTGGGCGTTGGGAGGGTTTTGGCTCCGTGTGAAAATGTGATGCTCGCTGTAAAGTTCACTGGGTACTCCGATGGTGTTTGATTGACTAACAACAGTTGTCGGTTTGTTTTAGGTTTAGGAACAACAGTAATGTTTAGTTAGGTGAAGTTTTGATTCCTTGTCAAAAAGTTTTATGGACAC